TATTTAAATTTTTTATAATCTTAATCTAAAATTAAATTTTTTTGTAATAATTGGAATTTTTCACTTTTTACAACTTAAATTATTTTTAAACTCTATAAATTAAATCTTTTATAATGTACTCTTATCTAAATTATGAATTTACCGACTGAAAGTTGCTTGCTCGATATTGAAACACTGCACGAAAGACATTTGTGTTTCTCATATTTTAATTTTTTGTATGCGGAATGTCCCAACCGCAGGCATTCAGCAACTATTTCGGGTTCCACATTCCAGAGTATAACTTTCGTCAGTATTTATTTCAAGCTGTATTTTTCCTAGTTTTGCGCATTTTTAATACTTTTACAGTTATGTTGAATATATTTTGGAAGTTTGTTGTATTTATTTTTGCTTAGCGTGCGTTTAAAATACGAAAGTTGTGCAAACCCACATTTTCGAAAAACATGCCAAAACACCAAGTGAGTGCAAAAGGAAGTGCAAACAATAAGCAAACATTTATTTTTCTAACAAAATAATTGCATTTGTGGTTAACCAAAATAAGCATGTGTGGCATTTCTGTTGCATACTTTTGGACATGCTTGGAATTAACGCAATGCAAGTTTTTGTTGCGTGAAAGCGAAAGTTAGGAGGAATGATGTAGAAAAAATATCACGTGAATTTAAAAATAAGGAACATTGAAAGACATTTTTAAAAAGCTTTTAAAATTAGTTTAGTTGCAAAAACATTTGAAAAATTTGAAAAATTTTTTAAATAAAAAATATTTTGTTTGATAATGTTATCTTTTGCTGCATGATTCTGATTATTCTATGTTTTAATGTAAAATTTTGCTTTGGAGATCTTTTATTTATGCCATAACAGCACATCCCTTACCACCCACAGTGTTGTACAAACTCTTGACACTGCATGCTTTCAATTTGTCATTTACACATGCAATCAGCGACTCCACGTAACCAATTATAAATATAAAATTTTTGTGTGAGCGTATATGTAATTATTAACAGTACAATTTAGTGCAAAAAGCTTACACAAGCTGACCAGCGAATGTGGCAGCCTCCGGCGGCAATTGGTGGTGGAAAATTTTAAATACTTCAACATGCAGCACACACATACATAAACACAAGTATGCTTCAATGGAATTGTGAAAATAACTGTTTGCGTAATTACTTGTCATAATTTGCATGATTTCCGAGCAACCCTGCTCGTCATGCTCGATTAGACCGCGACGGCAGTGCACTTACGCCACATGAAGTCAAGCGTTTTGTGGCAGAAGTGGCATTTGTTTTTCTACTAGTCACTTAATTTGCTCTACTGAGTGCATACGTATGTGGATAAATACTGTGCTGCACTTAAATTATGTCTAAACATCAAATGAAGCAAATTGGTGTGTTGCTTTTGTAGGCAATTGTCAGAAGTGGATACTTCGTTGAGTGGTGAACTGCGGCAAGGAAATTAGTTATTTTTCAATTTGCACTTAAATGAGAGAGAAGTTGAACTTAGAACTTCAGCGTAGAAATACTGTAATGTTTTTATCTAAAAATGGTTAAGTGTTGTTGGTGTAAAACAATCAATAACAGCTGTTAGACGCCTGCTGGTTTGTTACAATTTTACTTATTTTTTAAAGAAAATTCAGCTACAATTGGAAAAAAAAGTATGAATTGCGCTTTTATTAATAAAATATAATAAAAATATAATATTAAAAAATAATAATATTAATTTTTTGATTTTTTTGTCTTAAAGTTGTTTGGCACATTGAGAAAAACTTTGGAAAAGTGTGAATAACATTGAAAGCAATTCTAATAATTAAATATCTTACAGAAAAAACATGAAAAGGACACTAAAAGTAACTAAAGGTAGACTACGAATGTAATAATTTTAAATAATAAAGTGGATAGTGTGGAATTATTATATAAATTAAATGATCATCTAGGAAGTATTCAATAAGAGACAAATTTATGTTGATAAAAACTAGTAAAATATTTAACTTATATCAAATATACGGTTAAATCTAGCATATATCTGATGCTGACGGTATTGATTAGCTCTATTATATAGATGGGTTTACGCCTTCCACACATTTATATGAAATTATTAGTTTATTTTTAAACTTCCGGATTCTATCCAAGTCATACAAGGCAGCTGCGCAGCCCACATTTAGCACACTTTTACGACGCTTCGATTGAACATTCGCCTTCAAGTAAGAAATGAATTTATATCTGGTGGTATTTTGTGAAATTAAACCTAACTTTCCAAAAAATTATTAGAGACTATAAAAAAGTGATAAAAGGTGAAAATTATATAATTTTGAACTCTTGGACAAACCGCATGTTCTTGCGTTGTTGCGATTTTCATAGTAAACTACTGCTTTTCATATTTGTACGTGAAAGCACCAACTAACACCATTTACAACAATTGTAAAGGATAAACCAACTTTTTTTAAAGTTAAAAAAGGAACCACATTAATGTTGCCGTTGTCGCGTTTTGATCTCCTGAGCATACACATATTTGTTTTGAAAAAATAAATTGTTGGCTTCTTTACCAACTCTTTGAGAGTAGGCAAGTCAAAACGCTAATAGCTAGTTTATTACAATACATATTCTGTTTTGGTTTTGAAAATTGTTGCTGAATAATATCATATTAAAATAATATATGAGTAATTATTATTTAACAACTAGTCGATACTTATATATTTTAAAGCTCTTAAATTAGTTTTTATTCCTGTGAAATTGTAATTAATCCCAACTTATTTTTTTTTCCACAGAAGCGCACATCTCCACATATATATATATTATCGATGTAGGTGAATGTATAAATTTCAACATTTTCACGGCAACCTTTGACATGTACATGTGTCACTTTAATTAAATTTCATTTCATTTAACTATGAACTGTCTTCAATTTTAATACACTCGATATGTTAGATACTGATGTATATTATGTGCATATACTAGTATAGTATGCATATGTATGTGTAGTAGTGACCTACAAAATTAATGATGCTTTGATCTCTGCGCGGACATTGAACAAAATTTACTTTTACACACTTTAGTTTTTTATTTTACACATTTCTAACTTTTTCTACTTGGTTCTGCATCACACACGAGTGACCTGTGCACCTTGACCCGGAAATATTGACTTGCATTCTACAGCAGTGTGTAAGCGATATGCTTATAAAATGTATGTAGCTATATATAGATATGTATTGCATGTGTGGGTGTATATGTGGGTGTTGGAGGCCCAGCACAGGCGAAAAAAGTAATTTAGGTGCAACTGGAGCACAAGCGCATACTTATGCAAGGGCATGCAGCAGAGTGTACGTGCAAGTATATATTATACTTGTATGTATATTTATTTATATAGATATATACTTGTACATAGCATACTGCAATACATGGCAAGGCATACACCTTAATGACTGTTCACTGTTATGTTGCGGAGATCTCACACCTTCATAACACATATATTTGTGTGAATATCTGTTGTGCAGCGAGTAATTGCATACCATAGAATTGGAGACATTTGCAGCGTGTCAGGTTCAAAGGTGAAGTGGAGAGTGCTTGCATTTTCACTCCTACACCGCATTCACTAGGCGGTTGAAAAAGGGTATATTTTATTTGTCGGAATCTTTACAATTTAACAGAAATACTTGTACTGTAACTGTACTTAATACAATATAAACTCGAAACACTTCTGCTGGGAGAGGCACTTATAACAAAAAATATTGGTAAGCAATTAGTGGATTATCAATTATAATAAACTAAAATAAAATAAAATAAATCAAATTAGGTAAACCCAAATTAAATTCAAATTTTATTCCGCGTCTAAAGTCAATAAGTCAAATCAAAGCTTAATGGCATACATTTTGTTACATTAAGCATTTTCAAACCTTCTGATAACAATATTTTTGCAAGTTCTATCAGGGTGGAACGGATATTTCATTCTACATAGACTCAAGTATTTTGAAACTTTTTGATTTTTCAAAATAGAGTGCGACCGGACAAAATAGGCTTTTAAGGGTTTATTTAATTTAAATATAATTTATAACAAATTATTAATGCAAGTTTAAAAAGTTAGCTAAAATTTAAATACAAATTTATTAAGCTTGCTAACTGCGACAAAACTTATACAAGGTCTTACAATATTATATGAAAAGAAAAAAAAATATTTCTACACAAATATAAAAATAATAATAATACATGCTTAATTTTTTTAATTACTTAGAGTGGGAACACCATTTTGAATTTATACTTATAATAAATAAAATTAAAAAGTTTTTTATATGTTACAACATTTTAGAAATTTTTAGGTTATTGTTTATCCATTTTATCCATCATTTACCATCGTTGATATCTATTTTGATATAGTATGTATATAATATAACGTCAGATAGCTAATATATTATCTGAACAGAAAATATTTATCACAGGTACTGATTTTCAACAATTTTGGATTAAAAACCATAGGAATTAGGAATTAAAATTATTATTTTTTTAATCCAAGTTTTTGGGATTAAAAACTAGGTTTTTAGTTTATTTTATCTAATTTTAAACACAAGTTATTTGGGATTGAAAATGTAATTTTTTTAATGGGAAACTTTAATTAAAAATTGAAAATTTTATTTTTTAATTTAATAAAAAAAGTGAATGTTTTATTATTAATCCCAAAATAAGGCTTGAAATGAGATCTTTATAAAATATAATTTAAGCTCGCCGATCAGTGCTCTACAAGATGATAGACATAATTTTATAACATTTTCTGGTTATAATTCAGTATTTAGTATATTAATACAATAATAAAATTATTTCAAATGTTAATTCAATATCTTTTTAATGCAATATTATCGGAAGTGAATGACCTTGACTCTCGTTAGATTTCTTCAACTCAAGTCTCCGAATACTTTTTCCCAATTTATTATAATGACAGACGATTCTCAATTCGTAAACCCCGTTTTACCATTTTATTAATTCCTAACTTTAGTATTGTAATAACCAGACTTTTCCACTCACCTTTCACCGTCACGCCCACTGTCTGTAGCACCTCCAACTTCTTCTTATTCGCTGGCGATTGCCCGATGCATTTGTAGGTGCCTGCATCGTGGTAGACAACATCTTTGAGTGAAAATTGACCGGTGGGTGTGGTTAGGCCGTGACCTAAACCTCGTAAGCGTGCGGTTACCGGATCTAAATGCGACCAGCAGCCTAAGGAACCTAAAAAGAAAAAGTGAAAACAAATGATTTACAATGCCAAAAAAATTGGAAAAGCTTTTTAAAAGAAGTATAGAAATATAAAGCTTGATACCCAATAATAAGAATAATATCTAACATAATTAATGATGCAATTTAGCACAGTAAGTGGATAATTCTGCATTACCTTGTGGACACTGTAAAGTCACTGCGCCACCTAATTGCACCTCCAACTGTCCCTTATTGGGATTATGTGATGCCGCTGCGACTGAGATATCCTGATCATCCGGCTCGGAAGTGACGTCAACTGAATCGTCTGTAAAATATAGAAAATATAATATTTAAATGGATATGTGGGCTTAAATTTTATTAAGGCGGGCCAAAAAAAAATTTTTTATTTATACTTATGAATACATATATTCGCAGACACTTCTCAGTTTATAGGGCATAAATTACTTGTATTAAATAAAGAAGATAAGCGGCAAACATTTTATTACAGCTTCAAGCGAATTCAATCAAACTTTTATAATGCAATTTCAAATAGTTCCTAAGTAATATTAATAACTTTAAAGATTTTAATCAACGTAAGCTGCTTTGGCAGACAATATAAGGCCCATAAGTTGAAACGTAGCTTTTCTGCGCGCGAAATTACTTTCACCTTCTAATAAATATTTCACTGTGCCCTAATTTCCTTTAAGCAGATTTTCATATGCATAAAATGATAATACACACACACACACAAAGATATTGCCTAATCCTACATGCCCACGTTTAACATGCTGTTCACGCATAAATATTCCATGGAAATTCTAATACCACGCTTGAAGAGAAATGCAAATCCTTAAATGCTTCCCGAGTTGCAAAGTCAACTTATCGCTGCTGAAATATTATTTGTTAGAATTCCTTAAATTTTTTTCGACATTTTGAAATTTCTTTTGCATTCCTGTCACAATAATTCTAGCCTGAGTGATTTGATTGCCACTTGGCATCATAAATAAATACATAAGCATATGTCAAGAAGACATATAAATATTATTTGCATACATCCAGCATACTTTAAGGCGATACATATATATATATATATGTAGTTGGGTACATATGTACGTAGAAGGCTGCTTGCCAGGAAAGCGCGTCAATCAGCGCGCGTTCAGCAGCTTTTCCTGCCTTTTCGCACGCTGCACAGGCGGAGCAAAGCAATTTCCGGCAGCAATCACATACTACGCAAGGCCGCTGCGAGGAGTCGCAGGTGTGCACATGTGCTGAGTTATTAGTAAATTTGTATGCTTAGCATTTTTGATAAATGTGCGTATGTATGTGTATGTTTATATGTGTGGGTATTGGTATATAATCTCTGCACCAAAGCATTCAACGTCGCAGACGCTCATATATGTAAATATGGCAACGCATAATTGTTGTTAGTGTAATTTCCGAAAACCAAGCACACAGTTGTCTACTTTTAGGCGCCCCACATTTACGCAGGTATGCAATATTTCAAAGCCAACCAGGTGCTACACTTTCACTGGCATTTTGCGAGTGTGTTCGCCAGATACATAGATACAGGCAAATACATATGTACAAATACACACACACTAACATTAAATCAATATATTATATACACATTCAGATATTTATTCAAATTTCGGGGAAATGCTACAAAATGTTCGCGTCATGTCACAGACAAATTTGATTTACAATGATGAGGCTGTCGCGCCAGAAAATATGCAATATAATTTGTGTAAATATCCCTAAGTCTACATGTGTGCGTAAGTTGCTGATGCAATGATATGGAAATATCTACACGGATAACGTGTGCGTGACATACTTGGCTCAGATTGCAGGTGGTCTCGACATATATTCAATTAATTCCGAAATTAAATTATAAAAAAAAGCGAAATGATATCGCGGCATTTTTCATTGCATACTTTCGTGGGGTTTAAAGTGGAAAATGGTGGCAGGAGGTCGAGATTGTTGGCTGCGATTGATACATTTAAAGGCACTTACTGAACTATTTTCGAAAAAAACATTTATATTTGTATTTGCATTCTCTACGATATTTACTGTTATTTGAAGCATACTTTTAGGTGCCATAAACAATAGTTTCGTTTACATGGTATATGAAAAACAAGAATTTCCCAGTCTCAATAACATGAAGAAATTGTAGGCTTGACGACGTTGCACAATATCTTGAAAACTTTGAGTTGTTTTGTCTTTAAAGGGGTAAAATATGGTTATGTTTTATGAATTCGAAGAATGTATGAGTTTCGATAAAAATGTGTAGGTATAAAGAAGACTCCTTTTCAGGTAATCTCATGATTTTCGAATAAGTTTGACGAGTCTAACCATTGGAATGTTTGTGAAAATAATCGAAGATTAGATAACAATAACAATATTTTTGGTAATTTGCATGTAACAGACTTTTTGTGTCTTTAGAGTAATCTCAGTAAAATATGACTCTTAGAAAAGTAAGAAGTATTTTAAGTGAACAATTCCTTCATTACGCCATATATGGTCACATTGCGAACGATTTTTTAATATTTTTTTACAAATTGTTCGATAAAGTATTTAAACTGAAAGATGACGGGTGGTACAGAAAGACTGGAAGACTTGCATACTATACTGGAACGCTTCGTTGCTTCCTTGGTCATTAATTGTAACGGTGAACACGATAACTTTAAAAATTACGTTATATGGGTAGTAGGCGTGATTGTAGCAAATTCCACATAATTTCGACCTGAAAGTAGTATGTAGTATTATTAATATGCGTCAGATTTGGCTGAAATCGGTCAAACATCTTATGAAATTATATCCAAAATGTGCCATAATCACCGTCCAATTTTTCAACTGGTGCACATATAATTTTATACCTTCTAATTAAATTCAAAGCGTATATAGCTTGTTACCTTATACATAAAAAATTTTGCTAATTATGCCCTGAATAGGGTTTATTACTTTTGTCACGACTTTTGCAACACGTAAAAAAAAACGACGGAGGCCTACAAAATATTTATGTATATAAATGATCAGCAGGGCGAGCTGAGTAGATTTAGCCATGTCTATCTGTCCGTCCATGTATATATACGCGAACTAGTCATACAAACTGAACGATCGGAATAAAATGCTTGTGTTGCAAGCTTTTTCATTTCACAAGATATCTTCAAGAAATTTGCCATGTTTTATTTTCCAAAAAAATCGTACAATCTCCGAAGAAATAGTTCAGATCAAGTCACTATGGCATATAGCCGCCATACAAACTTACAGACCAAACCCGAGTTCTTATAAGGAGTCCTTTGTATTTGTAAAAGGTATTTTATCTTCAATGCACCTGAAGTTAACGTTTTTTCTTATTTTTAGTATAATCATAAATAAAATACTATTTAGGATTAGTAAAAAAGACCAGTTTGGGTTCATATAAGTTATATCTATGCATAGTACATTTTAAATATTTTCTCAATATTTTCAAAAACAAAAATTTGCATACCGCTGCAATACTTTTATGTACAATATATGCTAATTATAATTTACATACTCCACAGCAATAAAATATTATAATTAATGAGCAAACTTATATAATTATTAATAAAAGTTGCATATCTAGAGCTTTTAAAATTCTGCTCGTTTACAATTTCGCTTTTCCAAAACTAATTACTTGGTACTCCATAAAAAAAGCGCACAAAAAAGTTGCAGAGAAGTGCAATAAAAACTGTTTAATATGAATTACAGCATTTATGCTACCCGCTCAGCAGTGAAGTTTGCCAACTATAACTTAGGCAAATATTTAATAGCACAACAACCACTATTTCAGACCCCTTAAAGGAGTCAAGTTTTTCACTAGAAATTAGTGTACTCACCCGACTGCCACTACTACATAAGTATTGCACACTCGCTCATACATAACATATTATACATCAAAATATATATATATAAATATAAATATATATATATATATAACCACACTCAAAGACAGCCAGTCAGCATTCAAACGCAAGTATTCGTTTTCATTTCCAAATACTCCAACTTTTTACATGATGATGAGTACTTGTGTATATATGTAAATGTGTGCGTGTGTGCTTTTCTTGTATATACATACGAACTACTTGTCTGCGCTTATGCACTTCATTTTACATACACGAAAGAGTACTTAGGCATGTTTGTGCACAAACAAGCAGGTATATCTTCTCACTTTTATTTCACTTTTGTAGTGCAACTCAACTCGTTGTTTTAAGTGCACTTTAATTATTTACAAACGACTCACTTTCTTAACTCATGAAGAGCGTATCTGGCGTACACTGTATGATAAACAAGTGCATAGACATACAAGATGCGATATGAGTAGTCATAAGTAAGTCATTTTTATATTTTGTGGCAGCACATATATGTATGTGTGTTGATTACAAATACACACACCTAACTGTAAGTATGTGTGAGAAGAACTTCTTTTGAGAGTGTTTCTGTGTATAAAAAGAGAAAAAACGGCATTTCAATTTAAGGAAGTACTTTTATGTAGCAAGAACTAACACATGGCCAAGTGAGTGTGGTCTACTTTTAGGCGTAGGACCTTCAGGCGCTTGTTGCATATGTAAAGAGCGGTTGCGATGCGCAATATGTGGGTTGACTAAGCGAAGGAGTTGAAAAGTTAAACGAAATTATCAAAGACATGCTACTTTGCATGCGCCTGTAAGTATGCAGCTGTATGTCTCAGCTAATCTGTACTTATGCGGGCTTTTGCTGCACTAGAGCTGTGCTAAGTAGCTATTTGCTTTACATTTAAATTATGAAATTTTATGTTAACCGTTTAATGTTAATCATTGCAGAAATATGTAGATGTAGTGTTGGACTAAGTTGATGTGGGTACCCTTATATGGAACTTATGCAGCTAGCATAAAATAAGTTAACTGTAGTAATTTTATTGTACTGCGTTCGATTGTTACTTAAAGTGGTTTTGCAGTACACAAATATATATCATAAGATTAACCAATAAATGTGGAGATCAAAAAAATATTTCGTTTCTACACGATAGAACCGTCTTTTGGATGCCACTAATACTATATTTTACCTTATTTATATATGATACACGCCTTAAATGTATGATTAATATATATTTTCAGAAATTATAATGTGGCATGTATTTGTTGAGCCCAAATATTAATTAACTGCAAGGCAGCACAATATTATATTATGTTAACAAAAAGTTTATGTGGGAGTTAGGCAGTGGATGAGGAGTTAATTAATTTAAATAATTAGAAATGTAATTCGGGTATACGATAACAGTTTATTGCACGTGTGATATATATACATGAGTTACTTGTGAACGACTAC